CTTCGAGGTTTCAAATTCAGCTTTCACGTATCGATGCGTGAGATTTCTAAATATTTTTCAACATCTTAACTATTTTTGCACTGACCAAAATGCAAAGCAGTAAAAATCATTAACAGGCAGTCGTTCGGTGGACGAAATTGCACAAAACGCATGATCGCACCAGCTATTCTGGTTTGCGCTGCTATTTATTTTGGTCGGTGAATGAAATAACAAGTGAAAAGAAAGAGGTTGCTCATAGCTGTCTTTAAAGTTGACAAAATTACACCCTAGTTGTTCTTATGTAATTGTTTAGCAGTGATCACTAGCCGGCCTTTCTCCTCTTTCTTTGATCAAAAAGTCCCAGTCTTGGCGAGTGTTCAAATCTCTCTGGCCTACAGATGTCAAAAGAGCTGTGGCTTAGAAAGCGGTATCAGCTAGTATTATAATCATCATCATACATTGAGCGTACAGCGATTGCGGCGACGATGAGAGCTTTTTGATCGAATGCCCCTTTGATTGTGTGAAATAGTTTCCCCGTCGAATCGGTTGGGTCGTTTTCCAGCTGCTTCTGGACACTGATGGTTTCAGCCACACCACCTGATACGTCTTGCAGTGCTTCCGCCAGCTGTCCACCCACAAGATTTTCATAACAGCCATACAACCTGAAAATCTGTTTACTTTACAAAAGCCGTCTCATTTGAGATGATCATTTCTGAAAGTTCAAAGACTGGTCTAACAATACATTTAAAAAAAGCCGGTTAAGAGGATGCCGGCGCGAAGCGATCAGAACACAGATGCACACGTACTAGAAAATAGGCACAGCTGCACTTGTAAGATTGCGGTTTATGAACAAAGACATCCTCCAATAATTTAGTTAGCAAAATAAAACCCAGGCTGGAACGCACCAGGCTTGCCGGTGCGATCATGCGTTTTTGCACTACACCTGCGGGTCGCTAATCGCAGGAATAATCCCTGCACTTCAGCCAAACACTTGGGCTCGTATTGGCCATGCATTGGTTTCTTCTGGCACGCAGCAGAATGGGCATCGTTTGGGATGCATATAGAGCCGCACGGACCTGCAGGTACATTATTACCAGTTTTTGCATGAAGCTCAGTCGTTTTTTTATACGTTTTTGCTG